AAGTCTAAATTGATCTTAAATTCAATCCATGTTAGTCGATCAGTCTTTGAAACAAGATGGAAGTAATAATCTTCTGTTGACCGGAAGTTCATCTCAACGGAAGTTGCCGATCCTATGTCACACCCTCTCACCCCCGACATGACGTCAAGCGGCGTTTGAATAGAAATGACAGTCGGCTCGTTCAAGTTTCAGCTTGGATCGATCAAGTGGAGTTGTGATTATTAGTTCTGCTGATTCATCTCGGTAGGAAGAAAGACAAGTGAGTAGTATCTCGTGCTATTAAATGTTGCTGTTAGTAATGTTATCTTTTGATCTATACATCTCTTGCATGACTTGCAGCGAATTTGTACGCGGGACTGCGTCACTTATTTACATTAGACTTGTCAGAGAGCAGAGTTATGCCTTTCGCGCTCTCAAAAACTACTGATCTTGTATGATGAATTTCTTTCTCTCTGTGTAATATTGTTTCTTGCAGGACTAATTCTCAGACGTTGGTTTTTAACCTATTCACCCGGGCGAATCGAATTCGTTTTGTTTGCTGATCGAGCGAGCGGAAATGGATTCTGTTTGGAAGAACATAAGCTTAACGTTACTGATGACGTGTTTTGTCTTCCAGACAAAGTTTTCAAGTGCTCAGACCCGTAAGTATTAGATTAAGCTGAAATCAGGTTACTCGTCCAATTAATTAAAACTCCGCTATGAGCTGTTTTTTTTATTCTTCTTGACTGGATTTGCTCCATTGGAGTTCCATGAAATTTGTTCAATTTCATTTAACTTCGAGTTAATTACATGTGCATGCATCGCAATGTTTTAAACCATAAAGCCTGAGCAATTATCTTGCTAGTTTTAATTATCATACATTGTTTAAAGTCAGACTGAAAAAAAATTGATGCAAGGGGAGTGTGAAACAAGCTGGGGTAATTAATTTTCCAACATATTTGAAGACTTTCTTAGCTGTAATTGAGAAGGTCATCAGACCTTCTCGATCTTGATTTCCATGTGTCCGCAATTCTGCACAGCTACGTGCTCATGACGCTTATCGTTCTCAGATAAAGAAAACAGTGGCAAAAATAGTAGATTGCTGGTTGGATTATATCAAGGTTGTGGGGAAATCTTTCCACTTCGTCTTGTTGTCCACAATCCTGAATATGCCCGCTCCTCTTTAATGTTAACGCCAATTTCTGGGCTTTAACGCAGCCAAGTCCTTGATCTCAGAAGACCTACAGGGAAACCCCAGATGGCAGTGTGACCTATTCAACAACGCAATGTCGTGGGAATCGTATTGCAGCTATCCCAAACAGAAAAAAAAAATTCATACGAAGAATGGTTTCGTAACTGTTATTTTTGGAACGTGTTTCACACACTGATTTGCCCGCTGGTTTATTTATTATTATTATTATTATTATTATTGTAACTATTATTATTATTATTATTATTATTATTATTATTATTTTTATTTTTAATTTACAGAAAGTTTGAAACCTTACTTCACACATAAACCCAAGAATATAACAGCCAAGTTACATTCTTCAACAACAGTTGTAAAATGCTATGCAACAGGCACACCAATGCCCTCTGTGAAGTGGGTGAGATACACTACCAGTGGTGAGACTGTGATTAGAACTGGAGGCAGATTTGTTGTGGGTTCTGTCTTTAGAAATCTCTATATCTTCCACCTACAATGGTCAGATGCAGGGAAATATGGCTGTGTGGCCCAGAATAAACATGGAAGAGCTGAAGCCAATTTTTACATTACTGTGCAAACAGGTATGCAAACTCTTAAGATTAACATCATGACAACATTGAGTTTGGGCAAATGGTCAAAAAATATTTGTTAAAATTCAATTTCCCACCTCCTTCCCACATTTAAAACTAAAAATGTTTCATGGGACAACTGCTTTTTTTTTTCTTTCATTTTCCTGAAATTTGATTGATCACTTTAAGCAAGCCTTGAAATCTGATTGCTTGTTTTGCTTTGATGTTGCTTTTTCATTTATAGTAAAAACATTTTTGGGCTTGTGAATAAATCACTGTGCTGAGAGCCAATCAGATTTCAAAAGTCATCAGTGATATCCAAGTTGATGTTTTGAGAGCAAAGTTTGACTAACCAATTTTTCCATCTCTCATCTAGAAAGTGCACCTAGTTGGAAAATCAAGCCACGCAATGTGACATTGTATGAAGATCAAGAATACACCTTGCCATGTGATGCTATTGCATTTCCTGAGCCAGCGCATTCTTGGTCACACAATGGACATCTTGTAGTTTCCTCTAATCCTGTAGTTGTAGGAAACAATTTAGTTTTTTCCTCTGCAAAGGCTTCCCACTCTGGATGGTACACCTGTACAGCATCTAATTATCATGGATCTATTTCTTCTTCAGTCTATGTTGAAGTGGTCTCAGGTATGTAATTTTATTAAAAACATTGGAGGTACTTCTGGAAAAACCTTGGAGTGCCATTAATTAAAGATTGCAGAAGATGTCAGTACAAATTCCTTAGTTAGAAAGGTTATCAATGCAACCTTGTGGGTTGTTATGTACAATGTACATGTAGGTCTCAAATGTGACATTCAGCCTTGTTCTTGAAACTATTTTGAATGGAAATTGAATTCAGATGATTAGTTTAATGGTTATTGACCTTACCACCATGAAAGGAACCCCAGACCTTAGATTTAACTCTTAAGTCCCTAACATCAGTATGCATATTCTCCACACTGTTCTCAAAACATTTCCTAAGGCACAGACAAGGAGAATTTGTGTAACAATCAAGGGATTTTTTAGTTGATAATCATTTACTTATTCTCATAACTTTAAACTTTTAAACCCTAATATCAGTATGTATATTCTCCCTACTGTTCATCATACATTTCCTAACGTGCTGACAAGGAGAATTTGTTTCACAGTCAAAAGCTTCTTAAGTTGATGATCATTTCCTTTATTCTTGTGACCTTCACGAGTGATTCAGGAGAGATATTGTAAGGAGAAATTAGATGTTAGTCACTCTTGGGGGTGGAAGGGTTCATCCTTAAATTCTCAGAAGAGATTGACATGTAATCTCTCCCTGTAATATCCATATATTGTCCAGCAATGAGGTAATGAGGCTACTCAAACTTATCAGGTAGAAATCGTTATCTTGATCGAACACCAACTTCTCATAACCAATTTACAAGGAAATGTGTTACAGTCAGAGGGGGGAATGAACAATCAGTTCTGGGGAGTTAAAAGGTTGATGTGTGATTTGTGGGTAATAATGTAAGGAGAAATTATGGCAGAGGCCAGCCAGCCTAAGGGGGTTGGAGAATTAATATTTCTCCTCCCCTCATTGACTTATATATTAACCCTTTAACTTCCAGAAGTGATTAAAATGTAACTTCTCCCTATAATATCCAGAGATTATTGAGCAAACAGGTAATGAGAATACTCAAACTTATGCAGTAGAAGTTGTTGTCTTGATCTATCACCAAATTCTTCTAACTAATTTACAAGGGAATGAATTGAAGCTAGAAGGGAGAATTAACAATCAGATCTTTACATTTTTGTCTTTAAGATCCCTCAGTTGTTATGCAACCCCAGGATGTCCCAACTGTTATTGGAGGGAGTGTGGCATTATCCTGTGGTGTTGTTGGCAGTGCCGCATCATTTGCGGTTAAGTGGACTCACAATGGCAGTGATTTAAGGGAGGATAATTCATTCTCCTTAACAAACACAACTTGGCGCAATGTAAAGATATTTGAGTTGAAAATTGATGGAATAAGACGTCGTCATACTGGGAAATATCGTTGCATAGTGACTAATGCCAAAGGAAGTGTAACAAGCAGGAAATCTAGAGTTTATTTTTCCAGTAAGTGACTTGATTATTAAAGTTATTTTAATGTACCTGTAGGAGATACCCCTGTACAAGATATTTTTGGAATGCAAACAGCACACAAAGGCAAATTTCACTGATTTTGGTGTTCCCTGATTTCAACCAATCATTTGGAAAGCTAATCGTGAGGTATTTGAAACAATATGCACTTTGTGACACTAAATTACAAAGAAAAAGAAGTCTCAACTTTGTGGCTAAATTTGATATTTTTCAAAATTAATTGAAGATACAGTAAGGAAAACTCATCTCTGTACCATCAAGGTTTTCACTCAGACAGCAAAACATGTTGGTGGTACTTAAATTTTTATGCTTGTATCTAAAGTTTTTTTTTTAATAATAATATGAATGAAAACTACTTTTTCATTGTCAGAATCTTCCCATACCTTTTCCATGTAAGGCAAAATATAATTTGCACAATGATTCACATTGCTTCAAGCACCATTGAGGTAAAAAGTCCCCAGCATACATAATTGTCAGATTAAAGTGGAGTTATGACTGAGGTGTTTTTTTTTTTTGCATACTTTCAATTGATGGCATCTGTGTTTAATAAAATAATGACTGCTGTTAAATTTCCTTTATGGTTACAGCCTGGGTTCTTCAAACATAAATTTTCCCTAGTGATTAATAAAGACTACCCTTCCTGTGCAGATTGTACCATGATAATTTGTAGAGGTAACATTTTTTCTTTCTCCAAAGGTTCTGTTATTCCTTATAAAGTTGAAGTACCAAGACCAGCAGTAGTTGCTGCAGTTGGTTCTGATGTTGAGTTGAAATGTTTCTTCAGTGGAAGCCCAATACCACAAGTAATTTGGTACAAAGATGGAAACAAAGTCACAGACCTAGGATTTCAATTTGTCCGTGGTGTAGGGTCAAGATTTGAAGCCATTTTAGAATTAAGCAATGTCACAAGTTCTGTTTCAGGTCATTTTGTTTGTGTTGTCAGTGGTGTGGCAGGCACAGCTGAGGGCAACATAACATTGTTTGTTGGAGGTATGTTTGTTTCTTATCACAAGACAATTAAATAATCATATCTTGTTATATTTCTCAGATAGCCCATGTGCTGTGATTGGTCAACTTAGCAGGCCATATTTTATTTTACATTTTGCTAAATTCAATAGTTTGAGTTAATTGAAATCAAACCCAGAGATATTAGTAATAAAATAACCTTGTTTTCTTGGTTCCTTACTACAAGTTTCAGAACTTCATTTTTTCCACTTGGAGTTATGGCCTTTGTATGTTATACTTAGGCCATGAAATCAAGCAGAAAAAACTTCAGTGGTCCTTAACTTACAGTAGGGACCTCCAACATGGTTAATAAGACTCAGGCATTCATTAAATTTTGTATCTTTGTATTTGAGGTGGTGCAGTTTAACCTCAGCTTAGTGTTTTCTATTGAAACAAAAGAAAAAAATTGAAAATAGAAAAACTTTTATTAGAATTAACATGTAGAATGAAAGATTGGCAATAACCAATTGAATTGTTTAATTGTTAGCAGTTCGTATTTGCCCTTTCAGGGGGCCCAGGGTCTATACAATGTCAACTCCCCCCTAGAAGAGTTTCAATGTATGGAATATGCTTTAAAGAGGAGTGGCATTTATCCTTACTGCTTCACCCAACTGGAACCTTCATAAAACTGCACTTTATAGCAAGATGGGTCTGCTGTCTTACAACCTGACTTTTCAGAGGAGTGCACCTGACCTAATTTAATTTCACTGTGAAAACATTAATTAAAACTTTCTCCCTCAACTATTTTAGTGTGTCCAATCTGTTTGACATAGTTGACAATCTGCAAAACACAGAAGATTTACTATCTAAAAAGCATAATTCCATTATTTGTTTGATTTTCTGTAGATGGAAGAGTGCCTGAGGTCAAATCATTGCTTCTGTATAGAGACATCAGGAAGGGTTCCAACATAACACTACAGTTCTTTGTAATGAGTGAAACTGAGCCAGATGTCACATGGTATAAAGATGGCAAACAGCTCAAAGATCCTGGAACCATTAAGCTACATGCTAATGGCACATACAAAGCTGAACTTCTTATAACTTTGGCGCAGTACAGTCAAAATGGGGTTTATGCCTTAATGGCTCAAAATCAGTTTGGAACCGGTTCAGCAAATATAATTTTGGCTGTCAAAGGTAGGTCTATAAATTTTTACTACTGGTAAAGATGAATGACATGCTCTCAAAGTCTTCACTTTTCTGTAATACTTGTTGTTGGAGCACTTTCTTAACTCATCAGTAGATTTTCTATGTACATAACTTGGAAATTTCACTCTAAAATTTTTCCCCCTGAGGTCAACATCCCCTGTCTTGGATAGCTGACAATATTTTTTGGAAATCAAATCAAATTAATTGAATGTTTATGTGGGTGTGGTAATGATTAAGGTAAAGATAGTGACTTGGCCCAGCAAGGCTTTAAAAAGAGAGCAAAGATCTGACCTGTTTACAAGAATTTTTAGCCAGAAGTTATGAGTATTTGATATAAGTTTTCAAACCCAACAGTAATGTGTGCTCTGTTTGCATTTTTTATGAATGAGTAGTTGCACTTGGAAAGGTTTGAGATAGAAAAATTTCAGTAACCCCTTGCTGGAATTGGAGGGTTTTTGAGTTTTGTCCCAACACCACCAAACAAAGAAATTAACCCCAGTCTTTTAGCTGCACTGTATAAGATCTTTGGTGTTAACTTTTTAACCCCCAAGAACTGATTGTTGATTCTCCCCTCTAACTGATTCAAATGTATAAATGTAATCACAGTTTCATTAAAATTTTTTCTTCTGCTACTTCCTCAAAGGAGCCCCTGAGGCACCCTCTAATGTCACAGTCAAACAAACATCTTTCCAAACTATATTGGTATCATGGCTCCCTGGATATGATGGAGGAGCTGACATCAACTTCATTGTAAGATACAAGATCAGCAGCTCAGATGTGTGGACAAGTTCTGGTAAAATATCAGGAAATTTGACAAGTGCCATGTTGAATAAGGAAGAGGAATGGAATGGTGTATTTGTTTTCAGTGTGCTAGCTGTCAATCAGTTTGGATCCAGTGAATCCAGTGAAGTTTCAGTAAACTTAAATGGTACGTGGTTGTTCAATGTGTATACGTATTACAACATGATTTCAAATGCAATTTGATGTTAACCCTTTAACTCCCAAGATCTCTCTAGTTATTCTCCTTACTGTCTGCCATACAGTTCTTATGATGTTAGTATGAAGAATTTGCTATTGGATCAACTTATAATCCCCTCATTGATATTTTTCTTTATTCTCATCACTTGTCTGCTTGATATTGTATTGATATTGTAAGGAGAAATTCTGTCTTGGTCACTCATGGGAGTAAAGGGTTAATGAGCTGTTGTCTTTGAAAAATTTACAAATGCCTATTCACACTAAATTGCACAAGAAATCATGTTAAGTCCAGACAGATGACATTTTGAAAGCGCGCAGGTGCCATTTATAATATGTACTCTTGTTACAACTTTGCATTTGTGTTACATGAGAATGCACACATTTTCAGCCAATCAGAAGCACATAACTTTTTCTTGTACATTATTAAATATTTTAACCCATGAAAACCCAGAAGTGATTAACATGTTACTTCTCCCAGTGATTTACATACATTATCCACAAACAGGTGATGAGAACCCTTAAAACTATCAGGTAGAAGAAGTTATCGTGGTCTAAAACAAAATTCTAGTAACTAATTTACAAGGAAGTCTGTAACAGCAAGAGTAGAGAATTAATAAGCAGGTCTTGGGAGTGAATGGGTGAACCTCCTTACACTTTTTTTAATTTAGTTGTGAGAATTTGTTGTTAAATCAAGTAATACCCCATAGGTGATTATCTTTGTTATCAGTCACCTTCCAGATTGACATTACACTGTTTGTATTACATTACATTGTTAGTAGGAGTTACTTGGTATGGCTAACCAGCGAGCCTCCATATTTAGAGTCGCTCTGAAGGAAGGGTTAAGACTTGAAATGTCAACTTAAAAATCTCTTTATGGTGGCCAACTCACATCATTAACTCAGTCGATAAAGCTAAGTTATCTTGTAATACACCCCAGCAGACACAGCTTCACAGTTTCTGTAGAAAACGCACCCCCTTTACTCGATATGACATATTTGTTAACGTATTTTTCAGGGGAAGACAGCGGTCCGCAAGCCCGTAAAGACGAAGGTTCATCAACAGGCGCCATATTGGGTGGGGTCATAGGAGGGGTGTGTGCTGTACTTTTGGTTATTGTGGTGGTGCTGGTCATACGTCGTAAAAACAAGAAGAAAAAAGATCCTGCTCAGCCTCTCCCAGCTGTACAATACTCTGTGGTGGTATGTAGTTACACTTAGAAAATATTTATATCTTTTAACCCTTAAACTCCTACGATCTCATTAGCAATTCTCCTTACTGTCGGCCAAATAGTTCTTGTGATGTTAGTTTGGAGAATTTGGTGTGAGATCAACTAATAATCCTCTCATAGATATTTTTCTTTATTCTCATCACTTGTCTACTTGATATTGTATTGATATTGTAAGGAGAAATTCTGTCTTGGTCTTTCATGGAAGTTAAAGGGTTAAAGAAGAGGCATTGGCCTAACGTAAGCCTGCAGAGTAGGCGTCTTGTTAGGGCGAGTTAATCCTTTACACCCTAACATCAACATCCATTTTCTCCATACTCTTCTCTATACACTCCTTTTGGTATTGACAAGGAGAAATCATTTGGTGATCAAAGCTTCTTGGGTTGGCGATCATTCTCTGTATTCTCATAATGTTGATAGATGATTTAGCGGTACTGTTGTGAGGAGAACTTCGGTGCCAGTCACTCTTAGAGTGTAAATGATTAAGGTTAGAAAGCATGCAAAAACCGCAAACGTTTTCCTCGCAAAATTTCTGGAAACTCTATCCTCGAACCAACATCGTTATACAAATGCTTTCATTTCAGGCGATAGATCTTTGGCAAGACATTCCTTATTATTTTAAAAACCTGAATACATTGTCTTTGGACAAATAAGTGAAATGTTGAAAATATGTTCTTTTTCGTCTTGTCACGAGCGTGGGAAAAAGAAAAACAAAATTCTGAGTCCCCATAAGGAATCGAACCTCAGACCTTAGGATTCCGCGCTCCTATGCTCCGATGAATCCGAAGGTCTGATTCTGAAGGTTCGATTCCTCGTGGGGACTCAGAATTTTTTCTTTGTCCCACGCTCGTGACAAGACGGAAAAAAACATCTTTTCTATGTCTTTACCGAGCTAAAAAACTTACCATTTTTCTTATTTCTATCTACAAGTGAAATATTATTTGCTGTCGGAACAACATCACAAGTAATTTAAATAAAAATTCAAGTATCTGTCGCTGTTGTAGTACTACACGATCTTTTAAGTGTGGGTTTTTATTCTCTCGTTTCTCTTTTTGTTAAAAACCTGACTTCAAATGGGAAGAGTTAAGCCAAAAAACCTCGCGGTTCCTCTAGCCTCTAGGCAGTTGTGATTAAACTATGCTTTTGAAAGTAGCTTGTTAACTATAAGTAGTTTTCTTGTTATTCAATTGTGGTATTTCTTTTTACGACCAACAAAAGATTTGTTGTTTTTGTAGCTTGAGTATGGCGCTGAGTTTGGTTATATGAGTTATATTAAGTTCTCAGTTACTATTCGTGATGTCTACCTTATTCTGGTTGTCTGTTGTAGTTACGTAAGTTTTGGTCTTAAAAAAAAACAATCAAAAAGCGCTCTAAACCATTCACTTCATTCTTGACACAGGGAGAAGACCCGTACACTTATGCGGATCCCAATTTCGGCCAATCCCCTCCAACCCAGAGGTGTGACACGTATTCTTATGTCACCATCAAACCCGATGCGGCAGCCGCTATGGCAGCTGGCAGTGAGTATGCATCCATCTCTCGACCAAAGCAGTGGGAAGTACCTAAGAGGAATGTGCGCCTTGATAAGAAATTGGGCTCAGGCCACTTTGGACAAGTCATGAAGGGTTATTTGAAGACGAAACGAGGCATACAAGTTGTAGCCGTAAAGATGCTAAAAGGTTTGTATGCTTACTTACGGTTGGACTGATTTTCTCGGCTTAACTGGCGCAAGCTCTGGCGTGGTAGGGACTGAGATCTCATCGTGTTTGTCCTGAAACGTTTCTCTTCGTTGCAACGCTTAAGATAGTGGTGACTAAAATTATTTGAGAATGACTCGAGAAATGCTCTTATACTGAAGGATTCCATGCGTCAAGGTCTTTAGGTTGCTTGAACGCTCTCAAAATTCAAGTCAGTTGTCTTCAATTGTAAACTGAGAAAAGTAATTTTAAGATTTTGGCGAGCGATCGCGTATGAAAAAACTCAGCCGCCATCTTGAATCTAGAACTCTTCCCTTCTCTGTTCCGTCTAACTCTAAGTTAAACATGGTGACTCGACAAACGGTCACCTGCCTTAAACGTAAACATGCCCTCCATGGTAAGAGACTTCCGAAGCAGAGTGGTTCATTCGCGACATTGTTATCTCTGACAGAAAATGCTGATCAGCAACAAAAGAAAGAGTTTCTTGATGAGTTGGAACTAATGAAACCCATGGTACCTCATCCAAACATTGTTGGTCTGGTTGGGTGTTGTACTAAATCAGGTGAGTGGAGAGAGTTGAAGTATATGGAGTGGCGCCTGATTTTGTTTGTCGAGAAAATTTTTTACCCAAGAAAAAAGAATGGAATTTCTCTAGCAAGATTGAACGCACAAGCACCATAACAGACAGTAAGCAGTTTAGTTTTACCTTCCTTCGCATCGGGATTTGTTGGGAGAGTATTATCCGACGCCGCCTTCCTCTCCAATCGTATTCATCATTTACTGTATTGTATTCATCGATTTTTGAACCCTGGACATTGCTAATGAGATGCGTTGTGGGGTAAAAGAAAGGAGAAGCTTGGGAAGAAATGGTGTTATAATCTGGAGGAGAAATTGTTAAAATAAAACGAACTAAAATCTCCATGAATCAAGCTGAGTTACTTGACGCAGATTAAAAATCTCTATCACGTGAGGGAGGTCGAAATGTTAAGAATGAAATTATAAAAGTTTTTCCTTTTTTCACTTAAAACAGATCAGCCTTTCATAATCGTAGAGTACTGCTCCTCGGGGAACTTGAAAGATTTCCTTATTTCCAGTCACGGCAGTGTTGTTTACGCCAACATGGCGGGTAATAGTGTGTCTTTGACGAGCCGTGACCTGATGTCATTTGCGTGGCAAGTTGCTCGTGGAATGAGTTACCTATCAAGTCTGAAAGTAAGTTGAATTTTTGTCAGTCTTCAATTTTACTACTGCGTAAGTATTGTCATATCTGCAATGATCTCTCTCGTCTTCATTTTTCAATCCGCAGTTCAATTATATGAAATCTATATATTCTAAGTCGTTCAAGATCTTCAGCATGATAATCCACATCTCGCGCACGGTTATTGTAACACGATATGATGTAATCATCGGCCAATCATAGTTCACGCTTCTCTTTGATCGCGTGAGCAATTCAACTTCCCTCATTTTTTCACTCCTCTGTTACTTGCGCGCCCTTCACAAATCGCGGTTAGATTTACTAACTGTGTGCCCAGAACAGGCTATGTCTTGTTGGGAAATACTTTTGAACATGTGTTGTGTAATAATTTTAACTTGCTATGATTTGCTTTGTAGCTTGTTCACAGAGACTTGGCCGCAAGAAACATTCTGGTAGACAAAGGAAACATTTGTAAGATTTCTGACTTTGGTCTAGCCAGAGATATTTACGAGAAGAAACAATACCTAAAGTTAGGAGAGGTAAGTTGGTTACTAATTCTAGAGTAAATGATGGAGTTTGTAGTAAAAATCAATCATTTACTCAAGATTTCTGTTAGGGTTCAAAAGGTTTATCCTGTTTAATTTCGTTTCCTATGACATATCGGCTTCCATCGACTGAGAGCATACTCAGAGTGAAAGTGATAGCAGCCGACATCAACTCTCGCGTACTGCTACAATAGTGAAGCATTATCTTAGGAAAAAGTTTATTTTTATACCTTCAAACTAATGTTATGAACAATCCCTGCGACGTTTATTTTACATTTGATGCATTTGTACTATTTTTTTTAAAATTTCTCCGAAACACCAAACATGATTTTTGCACGTCGAAAGTAATATACTGGATAACGAGACCGCATAGTTCTTTCAGAAATCGTTTTAAATGGAAACGTTTGACTACATAGCTCTTTTATGGTGCGGTTCAGGGGCTCCGTCTCTCGAAAGTCTTGGAAATCAAAACTTTTAACAATACAGAAACAGTTTCTGGCACCCTAACCAATACATTTGGCCTTTTTTAGCTGATAGGTTTTTTGTTTCGTTTCCAAAACCTTTAAAACCCCCATCTGGAATGAAAACAGAACAGCATAACGGGCCTCTACGGGCCTGTATAGTTACGGGGACTTTCGAGAAATGTTCCCCTGTTACGATTACCCTGTGAATATAGTCCCCTTCTATCACCCCCGACCTGATAGGCGTCCAGAGGCCAACGAATGGTCAACGAAATAGGTTTAAGTTAAGTTTAAGACCTAGGTCATTGCAATAATGTTGTTGCCTCGCAACTCCAAAAGCTAACAATTTAACAAGTGGTTCATACGTCAGCGTGCGTTCATCGAGATCTGAAGCATGCGGGAAGTTTGGAGAACACAAAAGATGCGTAAGAGTTGCTCGAGGCGTAGCCGAGAGCAACTCTAGCTTCTTGAGTACTCTCTAAACTTCCCAAGTGCTTCATATCTCGATGAACGCACAGCTGACGTATGAACCAATTGTTTTATAACATTTTCAACCCGATGGAAAATTTTTTGTCTTGAGGGGTATGTTTGCTGACGTCATGAGCGTGCACAATAGGAATATGAAGCACGCTCGCGCAATTGAATTTGAGTAGACAAATTTACTAGCTATGTTATAATTGTTATTTGTGTAAGTAACTGTGTGGTAGAGGTGTTGACGTCGGTGATATTTGAATGCCTTCGCTTTCTTATTCATCTGACTGGAAATGTGATTGATTGGTTTTTTTGTTGTTGTTGTCATTTTTAGGCAGAATTACCTCTTCGCTGGATGGCGTTAGAATCAATATTTAAGGGAATTACTACCACAGAAAGTGACATGTAAGTTGTTGCATAACATTGTCGTAATTCTTGTGAGTTGATCATGTGATAGTTGAAACATAGGAGAACGATATCTTCAAGAAAATTTCTTTTTGTTGCTAAAACTTTGAAAGTTGCAAATTTGCTATTAGTATACACCAAATAGGTGAATAGTGTTATTTGCGCGCGCTGATTGGTTGGTACGGAAGTGAATAACGAGGACTATTGACCTCTGAGCAGGCGAAGAGACAAAATGGTGCGTCAACAATTTAATTTCTGACCATATTTGAAAGAAAAAAACTAATATTTTGGAATCTGTGTGGTAAATACTGAAACAATTACTCAACTCAGCGTTGGTGAAAGTGGTAGATATTTACCACTACTCATCTCCATTTCGGTGAATAATTGTTAATTATGTTATGTCTAAATTAGAAATATTGTTTAAGTGGAATGAATATCTTAACGCTGTTTAGATGAAGCAGTTTCTTAATAACTCGTCATAACTATGGCTCACTATGTTTGTGCTTAATTACAACGTGTCGGGTGCCATTTTTTGTTAATAATTTTTCTTTTCTTGCAGTTGGTCATATGGCATACTTCTGTGGGAGATTGTCACTTTAGGTAAAGGTTCCATTCCCTATTTACCAATTCTCGGTCAGCGTGCGTTCATCGAGTTATAAGAAGCACGTAGTAAGTGTGGAGATCACGGGAGAAGCGCAAGAGTTGCTCGAGACGTAGCTGATCTCCAACCCTCTTATTTGATTGTTGTTATCCTTAACTTTCCTTGTGTTAAAAAAATGTACGATATCATTTATTTAGGTAGTTTTATTTCTATTACAGGGGCTAATCCCTACCCTGGTATGAACAGAGATCAAGTGATAGCTCAGCTGCATATTGGTTACAGGATGCCCAAACCACAATACTGTTCTGATGAAGTGTGAGTAGTTTTGTCGCTAAAAATTGTTCTAAGCTTGCAATGGTCATAATATGGGAAAAATATGCGTTTCTTTTCTCATTTGTGAACAAAAGAAAGGATTTCTATTATCTACTTCAGCCAGAATGCCTTTGTGTTCAAGAAGTTTTCTTGAAGTACAGTTGGAATTTAAGATCTCTAGTGTCAATGGTAAACCTTCTACTCTGGGTAGATATTTTTTCCTGAAGCTTATTCGCACATTCATCTGCAAAGAATGCCACTTAGCTCAGTAGGTCGTCAGCGTTGAGCTTTGACGTATCGCTTTTTTTTCTTTTCCTTATTTTCTCAGATTTCGGTTATGTTTCCTTTGATTTCAAACCCTATGAATTTAATACTTAGATAAGAGATGTTCTCTTTGTTGTAGATACGCCATCATGTGGCAGTGCTGGCAGCAAGAACCAGAGGCCAGACCAACTTTCCTTGAAATAGGAAAAACTCTACACAGACTGATGACAGCAGAAAGGGTGAGTTCAAAAGAAAGGCTACAATTGTATAAACTTGACGATCGTGAAAGTTGATGGGGAAAAGTCCATAGCATGGTATTTTGGAGCAAAGATGCTTTAAAATCTTTTAAAATTGTTAGACAACAAACAAGAATATCTAACCCTTCTGAGGACTCGAACCTCAGATATAAAAAATTGAGGTTTGGGGGTTGATTCCTCATTGGCAACTCAGAATTTTTCTTGGTCCCGCGCTGGTGACAAGACGAGGAAACATCGTTCTCTGTGAGAAATAATTTTTCAATGCTGTTGTTGTTGTCTTTTTTGTGACCATCTATTTGGCTCAAAAGCACTTCACATCCTGGCGTGTTATTGTTTTTATCTCAATTAATGAAGAAATTTTCTTAAGTTTTCAAGTTTTTCATGAAAAGTTATATGAAAAGAAATACGAACGAAAACTGGAATGGAGAACTTTGGCAAAAACTTGTTCTTTGCATTATAAGGTGATGTTCATCACTGAGGTCTTTTTCTTTCTTCTTAACAGATCTCGATTGATCTGAACAATTTTGACGCAAGTTACATCAATGCCACTGAAGAACGGTGATGAACTTGTGTCACGGTGATGAACTTGTGTCACGTGACTTGATGAACGTGAACTTTCGTGATGTTATATCCACCGACTGTAAACTATGGCGTATTAGGTTAATGATACTCTTGCTGTCTTTATAACAATGCATTGGGATTAAAAAGGGCAGGTTCCCTGTTTGCCTATACAGACTGTGAGAGATGTGAGAGAAATGGTTTGTGATCATAACATTTAAAATAATTTAATTAGAGAAAATTGTTGTGAAGCCAATGGTATTTGACATTGGTAGGCCTTAAGGCAAGAGAGAAAATCAATTCAATTTGGCTTCTTTTTTTATCAATTTAATGTCGAAAAAACAGGAAAAGTTTAGTGAGAAGCACGTTTAGTGTGAAAGACGTTAGGTAATCATTCGTGCTTTGTAGTTATTGTTTAGATGTTCTAGCGCTGGAATTGTTGTACAGATTGACTCGTGTTTGAAGATAAAGCATGCACTAATTAAAATAAAAATAAAAATCACCCCGTTAGACAGTGTTTTTTTTATTCGCATTCTACAGAAAATATTGCCTGGTGTGCTTTTCAAAGGTGAAAGTGAAGGATGTAAATGTACATTCATACAACATGTCCGGAGGAAGTAAAAAAGTTTACAATTTACTTGTCGTAAACGATCTTTGGTTTCAACATCCATTGTTTGAAGAAAGGCAACAAAACTTGCGTGTTTTCACTGTTGAGATTTATAGAAGAGAAGAAATCCAGAAAAAAAGATGCCGGAAAAATACTTTGTAAAAGTAATGAAAGAGATCGAGAGCTTGATCAAATACGATATTGAAATAGTTTTATTTTGCGATCATATTTCCTCGTTCATCCAATCAAGTTTGTCGTCTTCAAAGGCCCTTAAGATGGAAGATTGAAACAAAGGTTATCTTGAATCCTTTACATTTCGTTGTACTCACGAACATTATCACAATTAGAGGGAGAGATTACTTTGAAAAAAGTAACGTCATGTTGAATTCACTCTAGCGACTTCGACTAAATGCCCAGTAAACAGCTGCTGTGCCAATAGTGAGCCCACGTTACAGTGCAGGACGAAGAAAGCCCAGCGAGAGGCGTGGAAAACACACATGACCAGAAGAGGAAATTAACATAACACAGAAGCAAGCTAGCCTGCGTAACAGTTGCTTTGCAAAGAAGCGAGAAACGCGAGGGAGGAAGGGAATATACGCACTATAGAAACTCCCTCGCGTGTGTCGCTCCCAAACGCTCACACTCCACGAAAAGAAAGTAGCAAGCTCCAACACCAAAGAAAATGAGCATATATCAATGCATGTAAATTTACTTCTATCTGCAGTGCGAGACTCCAAAGAATGACCCAACCCTTGGAAAACTGGTCGTTATGGACAGGTAAAAGCAATTCAGTTATCTGGCCGTGCTAAAAAACGGACTGCGCGGTCTACACGCGGTTGCTGGTATTGTTTACGAATGAAAATTATTATCTTGGTCAAGAAAGCCTTCCCTGTGTAGCTCCTAGACGGTTGTTTACAGGTAAGCCGTATCTGTAGATTCAAAATGGCGGCGTCTACAAGCGAATGTTAGAATATTGGAAAAAAGTTTCAAAAGGGTTAGGCTACTCTTTGGAATTTCAAAACGTAATCAGCGTTATAATTTCTTTTTCATGTTCAATGGCTGATTGAGAATTATGAGGTTTCTGAAGCATACTTTCCCTGTAAGTCGAGCCTCTGTGACTCAGGCTAAACTGAGACAAGTGAACGTAATGGTCAAAACAAACCTGTTGTAAAGCAAGTGAGTGTCTACTTCAAAACTACTGTCATTCTCGTCCTGTCTCTTCGTCTGCGCTGGTGGGATGGAATAACCTCTTTTATCAGAATAACACCACGAGGCACAGACGTATGTTATCATTATTATCCCCAGCAATCCTATGATCCCTAGCGCCACGCTTAAAGCTCTCTTGTTGATCACGTGATAGAGAAGCCGTAATCTTTGATCAAACTCTGAAACAAGAAAGGAAACATAATTTTGCTTAAAGTCTGCTATCTTTCTTATTCTATATCTACACGAACGATGCCTTTTGTGCTGCTAATCCTATCGATATACAGGATCCTTCGCATCTCTGAGCCAGCTGGCGTACGGCCCAGTTGCTAGACCAACAAATGTTTTTACCGTGACTGTGGTTGAACATGAAAGCACAAGATCCGAAGATCTGAGGTTTAATTCTCGTGGGGAATAAGATTATTTTGTTGGCGAAAGCTAATAACCAATGAACTACATCTTCTGCCCTTCTGCTCTAACGAAGAGCTAACGCTAGAAACTTCAGATTTAGAGACTCTTCACGGTGGCCGATTTACATTGTCAACTCAGTTGGTAAAACCAAAATACATCACTATCTCTCTTTATCAGTTTGGTTAACGTTTGTAATAAATTAAAAAATGACGTCTGAACAATTGCATTCACCCCATTTTCAAAGGCTCCGCAAAGAAGACAGAAACATTTCCCAAAAAGGCTTGAATACGGTTGAGAAGCCTGTCACAGTAATAAAGCAAAATCTTGTAAAGTCTTTTTAGCAGGTTAGCTTGCGTCAAAATAATTTCATGTGTAGTTCATGATTAGGCCTAAATACTCTCATGGGACACATTATATTTTCCCCGTATAAACAAGGTAGTTCACAAATTGCGTCACAATAGCTAAACTTTAACCAAAATTTTCGAGCCTTAAGAACGGCGATAATCGCTCCTAGTTCCTGCCTGGTGATTATGTACGTTTTCTCTTTCTTTTCTTTTTTCCTTTGCTCCCCTAAACTTGCGCGAAGAACTTAGGTTCGAAAGACAAACTGCCCATATTCCATTTGGTGTGCTTGGTTACTTAACGTTTTTCTTTAAAAGGAAATTTTTTAACCATGCATAGCTTGCAGATTTCTTTCAGGATAGTAGGTGGCGAAAGCGCCTACCATTTACCTTTAAAGTTGTTAGCAACGAGTAACAGATCATAGAAGCCATTATTAGGAAACACAGTAAAATCAAAGGGAGTAATGACTGCTCATACCTGAAGAGTTGGAAGCCGCTGACCAGAAAACCACTGCTCTGTTCTCAATCTGCTTGTATTTGTTTTGCAGTGTAATGTTTAATAAATACATTCTTCTGGGCTGCAGATGTGCGAATGTGTAAAACCCGAGTATTTGAGATAAATTGGTAACTTCTTCACTCCATGAACTGGAGTTCAACAGCCTCAGCTTCAGGCTGACATGACAGGCACTGAAGACAGCGTGTTCCGTAAGACGCCAGGCGATTTGCACAGACAGGTATGACTTGTTTTGAGCAAACACGCTTAACAACAATGGATTTAACTCGGCTGTGAGATAAAGTAAAGGTATAACACATATCACGTACGGTTTGAAACAAGTCTTTGATCGAAGACACACTACCTTGACAAAAGCACTTAAGTCGACTCATTCGCCCATTTATCGAAACTTCAATTTCAATCGAGGTTATTGCCTGGGTATCTGGCGGTTTTGCGCGCGCTTTAAAGCATATAGCAAGGAAGTTGTGAGTGGGAAAGTTCCATTTTCCACCTCAAGCCTCTCGCAGCTCCATCGCTCGTTTTTACGACACTGTCGCTTGGTGCTTCAAAACGCAGACAAAGCTGCCAGCTATGAAGGCTATCGAGCTCACGCCAGGCCAATTTTCCATTCCCGGACAAAAAATTTGTGATATCACGGCCCTAAGTAACACATCACCACATGGAATGAATGTAAAGTAAAGACTGACAACGGTGACCTTGAGTCATGAAAAATTTTCTTCTCCAAGTGAGAGCCTTTCTTCAATCTTACCGATACACGAACGCTATGAAACTAGTTATTGCTTACCTTTCTTCACAATAACAGTGATGAGCTTTGAAATGTTCTGTTTGTAGGATACAACTTCACACATGAAAAGTCCCTCATCCATTCCTTGCTGCACCACAGGAATACCAAGATCTTTGCCGTGATTTGTTATTGTATAGTGTGTACTATTACGAATCATCTGATTCTCCTTGTACCAGAAAAGACCAAAGACCTGTTGTGGTGAATTCGCACAATAACTGCAGTGTAGTTTCAATTGTCCTTTTTCTTTGATCATTATCAAACTGGGTGAAGTTTCGTTTTCGTGAAATGCAACTGCAAAGAAAACGTGCACCATTAGATCTGTTTTCATAATAAAGCATTTTTGGAAATTTCTCCTGCTGTTATCCTATAAAACAATAGATTTTATGTTCGCTGACATAAATATGTTTTGGACCCGACTCAGAGTCATTTTTAGCCGGAGCTATAAGGCGAAGGTGAAATGAAGCTCTGGGAGGGGCCCAAGACATGTTTATATCCGAAAACGTAAATTTTATTACCAGTATCACTTTGAGAAATAAGAGCTGGATGAATAAAATTATTAAAAAAACAGTCTTAACAATCACGCCCGCTTAAGAGCTTATTTCAGTCCACCAAACTTTCCGTTTTGCCAGCAAAATGCGCCACAATGCCCGACGAATTGGTTGAATTTTTCATGGAAGAGCTTATTAATCATTTAGTATATGTAATCGCATGGGCCCGAGGAAGTTTTGAGAAAACTTTGAAAATACAAGTGAAATTGATTCTTAATTCCCCGAGGCAATTAAATCTGATCGTTTGTAGAAAGAACCCTCTCGATCCAAAATGAGGAATGACCACATCGTGAGACTAACGCTTTTATCATTACAATGGATCAATGTCAGTACCTTAGCAACAGTTCACCCACCCCTCCTCTGGCCTAAAATTACCCCTACTTATACATTTGTTGGCTGTTGTTGGGTTAGAGGATGGGTAGGTGTGCAAATGTTCAGTTGCTAAAATTGACCATCACTATAATACCTGTGTCGTCACTGAAGTTTCCACAACCCTGACTTGCTACCATAATTCTATCAGGATTTTTCGACAAAGCTGACAAAACAGGATGAGATGTTGTTCCATGCAATATAGTTGGTGAAGTAGAAGCTGCACTATGTGATGGTTGAAGTTTTTCCAAAGGTGCTTTAACTTCTCCTTTCGACAAGGTTGATATACCTCCGGAATGTCCCACACTCGTAGGATAAAGTGCGCTTGCGGGATTCGATGCATTCGAGGGATGTGTAGTACTCGAGGGATTTGAAGCGCTTGCGGAAGGCACTGTAGTCATGGAACTTAGATTATTTGCGGGTTGGCCATTTCTGGGCAAAGCTGATATAAAAATATCGTAAAGTTAACATAGAAAAATGAAGTAAAAAAGAAGCAGTATATTTCGCAATGTTATTTCCACTGCTATTAGCTTCACATTTTAAATATATTTAATAATAATTACTGAGGGGAAAATTAGCTGGTACACAATTATAAGTTGATAAAGATAAGTACAGCATCGTAGAAGATTCCTAAAAGCTGGCGGTCAGCCTATTTTTGTTCTATATGAATCAACTTCTAGTTGATGCGGACAAATTGTTTTTGCTTTCCTCGAAAAGAGCGCAACAGTTCTCGACAAACGTAGCACCTCGTTCGTTTTGGAAAGGAGATTACAATTTTGCATGAAAGTATTCCTACGATTTTTTACAATGGTCTATCAAGTTATAACTCGTTCACATAAATTTTTTTTCAATGCTGCCTTTCTTCAGAGAATGGATTTTTCCTATTTAACAATTAGATTATTCGCTCGAGACTTCTATCGCGTGATATTCGATAAGAGCCCGAATGAACAGTCGCGCATAGAAATAGAGAGCGAATTATCTATTAGTTGTTTTTAATATTAACTCATGAGTAACCAAGACAGAATTTCCCCTTATAATATCAATACAATATCAAGCAGACAACTGATGAGAATAACGAAAAATGTTGATAAGGGGATTATTAGTTGATCCGATACCAAATTCTCCAAACTAACATCACAAGAACTATATGGCAGACAGTAAGAGAATTACTAATGGATCCTGGGAGTTAAAGAGTTAATACGCCAGTCGTCAAAAACTCCATAATAAGGAAGGCTCGCGCTTTTAATTTATTCTGTTTAAAACCATAAACGTGTAGTCTATTTTAATCAATATCTATCAAGGAACAGATGGAGAGTAAAGTAGCCAATCAGACTGTAGCATCTGTGAATGGACTCTTGTGAGTTTTTACACATAACACGTTGAGCTTTTCGCGAACATATCATCTTCTCCCTATCTATTGCTTAAATTGTACAATAATTTGTAAGTGACAGCTAGCTACTTTGTTTTATAAAGTAACTGAGATACTACCACAGAAAATTTATCTTATAAAAGCAATAGACCGCATGCGCACGTTTGGCTATCGAATTACCGACCTAATAATCACACTTGGGATTGTGAAAAGAACACGAGAAAGTTGCAATAGATGTTTCCTTATTTGCACTACATCTTCCTGTTTTTCGGATTTGATAAACAAGCAGAGGCCGAACTCTGTCGCTAAACTCTTATTAAAATTTTAAGAATATACACCTTCAGATATCTTACCTTCCACGGTCAAGAAAATCGTAGCACTCAGAATAGTCTCCCCCTGTTTTCCTCTCATGCAACAAGTGTAGTTTCCAATGTCATTGACGCCAAGCTGATTAATCTGCAGCTTAGTTGTTGAATTTGATAGCTTGTATTTATCTCCACTGACACCAGGGGCCAGGAGACCATTTTCAACCAAAACGAAATCACCCGAAGTTCTTTGAAATGACCATGTTAGGTTTGTTAGCAGCTTGCTGTCTGTATCCTGGCAAATAAGGGTCGTATTTGATCCCTCCGAGGCGAGTGCAGCAGTGTCAAATGAGAGCACAAGCTTTCCTTGATTTGATGAATGTACAAGATAAATTTTGAGTGCAACAGAATCTGGTTTAGTCATAACTTTTAAAGTTGTCCAGAAGTGAAATAAGTCACATATCGGACAGCTAAGCCACGCGCACATTTTTAAACAATATCCATATTTTTTTCTTTCCCTATAAGCAGTGCACTTCCCATAAGAAATCTTTGAAATCGAAAGGGGATTTTTAAATTCGAAAAACTGAAAAGCGAAAAAATAGAAAACAGATATAGCGATAAAAACAAATTCTTAACTGAGCTTAAAAATTATGTGTTCCAAACGGCGAGTTGAATGGAACTGTCGCGTAAACTTGTGAAATTTTTCTAAGGAAAATCTCGGGGTATCTTCTGTCGTTTTTCACAAAAGATAAAATGCCACGAAATAGAAGATACTTTCTCGGCGGAACTGACCCACCCAACAGTAACTGTGGTTTCGTCCGCGAAGTTAGGCTGGGACAAGTTGGAGTTGAACTTAAGTATAGATAAAAAGGGGCTTTTTACCTTGAACGGTATTCAAGGAAAAACAGATGAAAACCGTACACAGCAGTAAAAAGATCTTCATTCCACAGCCATGCGAAGACAGTTTAACCAAAATGTAAATGGAAGGAAAACCGTTGCATGATGTTCCCTGTTTGCTGGCGAATTCAGTTTGTTTTTCGGTTACCTTTGTGACGTCTTAAAGCGCGCGCGACATACGTTCCCAGGATCCCACGCGATTTTCAGTTCCCAAACGAAGACCTTGCACTGGTTTGGTATCTTATTTTTCTTCGCCGATTTCTTTGACTTGCGCGAAAGATTAGAATGGAAATATGAACTGCTCGTGGTCTACAACGTGCATGTACCTCTTCAAAAAGGTGAAATAATATCTATTCGATTGAAGGATGTTCAAGAAGTCGCCTATTTTAACATTCGTACTCTGTCGTCCATGAGAATTTCTAGTCATATCGTTTGATGTGAGTGGGTCAATATGGAATAACAGAGGATACTCATGAGAGGATGACCTGCTTCCCGTTTCTCGTTTAGTCGACTTAATTACCCCATTGTTCGACAGAAAATCTTTTCGAAGTGAAAAGGCAGCATAAATTTTAACAAAATCTTAGGGAAGACAGTCGGACCCGTACATTCGTGAAGAGAATTCTGTTCTTGATCGGACATGTGTAGGTACTTCAACAACCCTCAAGTATTTGAGAACTAGTAAGATAACTCCTAAAAGGAAGTGTTGTCGTTGAAAAAAACGCCCGTTTGGACAAACTGAGAGGGTCGTCATAGACAGAGTTAATCCAACAGGCGATAAATAATGCAAGGAAGAAAGTCGAACAGTTGTAAAGTTTCCCTCAGTAATTACCTAACAGTAAGTCAGAAATACTTCAACATCTTAACTTCGTGAAAGCGTCTACTTTAAACAAGAGTAGTTTTGCTCTGCTCCTCTCGTTATGTGGTAGAACGGCAATTCTGAGTAATTCTAACCATGACCATGACATTTTCCGCTGACTAGTTATAGTAATGGATTAGTATAATGCTTTTGATATAGATTAGGAGTGGATATTTCGTCTCTGTGTTATATTATCCCGAATTACACCAACGACCATCATATAAAGCCTTGACTCACCGTTCTGATGCGCAGTAACTCATTTCGTTCGTTCAAATGGCTACAATTTAACCACATATCTTCCTATAGCATTCAGACGAAGCGAGTCAAGATACCCTCATGAGATCGAGGCCATGTGTACCTGTCAGTCCAAGATGGAGTGACCTGGCTTCCGATCGATACCCGCGGGATTGAAAAACGACGTGACGAGTATGCGTTCTCCCACGTCGAACGCAATAGAACAGAACTGAACAGAAAAGTGGACCATGTAACGGAAATAAATATCTTTATTCAGCGCCACAGTGTGGCAATATATCACAGCGCAAGGCATTTGATTGATTTAACAACCGGGAAAAACATGTCATCTAAAAGCGAATTACACACATTCAGTTTAAACCGAATCTTCAATTACACAAAAATGCTCAACACTACAGAACCTCTCCTAAGTCCTTCCACTCCCAAAGTGTTCCACCAAATGAGCAAATCAAATCCACGATGGTTTAACATTCAACCACAACATTTCTGTGGCAATTTGACGAGGGCTGTCTAATTGACCTCTGTAAATGAATCTCCGTCGATTCGTTTGCATTTTTACGCACTACTGCCGCGACACTCTATGTGGTTGTACACGATAAGGTGAAAAGGCAACGTACCAAGTGTTCAATGGACAATCGTGTGGCACTCTTACAAAACCTTATCCAAAACTAAACTACTAGTAAAGGCCTTTGGGAGTGAAAGAAGAAACACTCACACGAAAACGTAACAAAAGCCAAACAAAAATTCCTCATCATTAGCAGTGCCTATCATTCCCAGCGTCCATCAGCTAAAATTCTTTTGACGAGGTCAGGAAAGGGAACATGAAATTGCAAGACAAAAATTTACATTAATTTAACATCACAAATTCCGGTGAGCGTTGGGAAACATATGTGAATGCTGCCAAATTAACAACGTTTAACAAAGATGACTTAAAAAGTGTAGACGCATATTAACCAGAGATACAGAACGAATATTCACTGAATAAAAAGTGCGTTAACGTGTGGTAAGAACGACAAACAAAACTCATGGTTTTAAGTTATAACTAGGAACAGTATTTTCTCACCTAAACTAATGATTAACTAACAGGGAAACGGATCTCCGTCTCCATTTGTGCTAAAGAAATGAACCTGAATCGTGAATGAAGAGTGATGCGGTTTTATGGCGGTTGGGCGCTGTGTTTCTAGCCAGCGAATAGGGCATAGCGATTGTGCGCCGCAAAAGCGCGCTACTTGGCAAAAAACGGTTGATTCTACAAAACAATTTACAAATAATCGTTTCACTGTTCAAAGCAGTGCTTCCAATTCAACAGACCACAACGCGCTGCAGTGTCATAAAACTATCACTCTTGTTACACTCTAACTATTTTTACTTAAATTAGCGTTGGAAATTAAATTTAAATATTTAAATGCTGCGCTGCGGGATCGTGAACTTGTAAGTAGGTAACATTAACCCTCTCACTC